TTTGTTATGAAATGTGTATATGTATAAAGAAAAATAAGTCAGGCAGTAGGTTCAAAGATTACAAAGGATTAAATTAAAATACAAAAGTTAACCAATATTTGATAGTCTGGCCAAGAGGTTAAATGTACTTTAGATAATCTAATTACAAAAAGGTCGATATGATATTTCATACCCTCTCTAAGGGATGCATATTTTTACAATAATTATTCCGTATGTATGTCATTGATTTATTTTCACAGCAAATTAGGACTTGATCGTATCATTTTTCGGAAGACCCTGTCATAAATGCTGTTTCTTCCCGCAATTTTTGTCCAGATTGTTTTGATTTTCGAATTCATTATATCATCGTAGGATTAATTATTAAAGATACACTATGCCCGTCTTTGAGTTAAATATTTTTATCACAGAAATTAAATGAAATCTATGAAACTCTTACTGAATATTTCGAATTTGAATAAAAGAATGAATAAATTATGTATTCAAATTCCAATTTGGAAGCTGCATTCGGTATTAAAGTTGTTTCTTTCTTTAAAAAAACTGCCATTTTTAATGACAATATAAAGTATATTCATGACGTGAACATATAATGTATGTAGATTTAAAACATACCATATCTAGGCAATACATGTTTATTTCATTTTTTTAAAAATAGACATTATATATAAATATCTTTAAGTAATATTCTAAAATATTCATGCATATATGCATTTTATCTGTCAATGTTGTCCGATTCTAAGTAATAATTGCCTTGTTCGTCAACATTTTCTAAAACACGACATATCTGACGACTCTTTCTTTTACAAGTTATTATCATGCTATCTTTCGTCCCAAACGTTTATATAGAGGATATTTGTTTAGTTCAGTGTAAGATCGGAATATATTTCACCGAGTGAGCACCAAAAGGTATATTTCACGAGTGGCGCAGCCACGAGTGAAATATTAGCTTTTGGTGTTCACTGATATATTTCTATTATCCACCGAAATGCATGTAATAAAATGTTTTAAATATGAATCTTAAGAGAACTAATTAAAAGACGTATCATTATGTGTGTACGCATTTTCAACGATAACTTTGCAATGTCCTTAAATGTCCAGAATTTGATTAAATATATATAAAAAATCCTTCTCAAAGAGAAAAACTTTACCTACCAAAATGACTTGTTGTTAAACAAGATAAAGTTCGGATATAAAACAGCAAGCAGATTACGAATCAGAGATGGACATGTTGCTGAGACAATTATCAACGCCACAAATTCCGCCGATGTTCCAGATTCGCCAGTTGCCAGTTTTCGATTCACTGGCATTATAACATCCATTTTTCCTCCGTTTTTCCTATTTCCAACTTTACCACCTTAATGTATTCCTGTTATTCGAAAACATGTAAGCCACATTTTCCTCGAATTAAAGCATCATGTTTTTTGTACATTACTGACGAACACAATTATTCATATATTATAAATATATGTATACAAAGCGTCAATACACTTTCAATTAATTTATGTTGCAATTCACGCGTCTTAATCTATTTTAAAATGTAAGTATTACAGTGTATGCGTACTTTCAATACAATATAATCTTTTAATTTCAAAGCACTCCAGTTAATAAGTACACTGGATTAAAAAAAACCTAGTACAATTCAAAAAGCGCTGAAGTAAAACTGATTAATGTTAAACTTCAGCATATACTCGCAGAAAATAATGTTTTACAAACATGCTTTATTATGTGTTAAGTGAATATACAGCACTTTTGAAAGGACTTATAAATGCGATGTTTCACCTATCAATACTTAACCTTTAAAAATTTGATAATTTTCATTTCATGAATAACACAATATTTTATTATTTATAAAAATATTGATGTACGGTCAGCTTTTATATACAACAATTTATGCACTTTATAAGCTTTTAAGTTATAATAACAATAACCATAACTTAGGGAGTATTTAAATAATTTTAATAAAATAGATGATTAACCTTATCATTTTGATTTTATTTTATTTTATCTACAATACCCTGATCATACATGTATTTGCGTTAAGCTGAGTAGTGAGTAATTCTAGCCAGGGTCTTTCAAATAGAATTCTTTTTGAAATACCCTGTTCTAACTGTGTATCATTGAACAAAATTTAACGCACACGAACAAGGAAACAAAATGACAACCATTGTATAATATTATTGTAAAAACGTTTGACTGGTTTTTGGAAACAAAGACGCGTTATCAATACATGTATATTGCATCACGGATTTATGTAATATAAATCCGTGATGGCATATATTATATTATATATTATTGAATATGAATCAAGACAACAGCTAGAAATTAGTGTTTTAATTAATGTGGTTGTCTTTATTAGAACTAGATCTATGTCATTATGCCTATGAGCCTTCGGTTATAAACATTTTAAAAGACTTTCCTACCAAACATTTCCTCGAAAATTTATACGGTCCGGAGCTAATATTTTATTGTAGGCTACACTGTGGTAATACCACGCGCACTTTTTAAAATAAATTAAATGTGGGGGAAAAACAATTGCCCATAAATCACAGACAGAATTAAGATTAAGGTCATTGATTTCTATCAAAATCTTGTTGATAAATGCACCAAAGTTTTTTTTGAATAATGATTATGTTGTCACGAATAAGTGGGTAGATATAACAAATATCATATTCAAAATTCGCAATTAATTAAGCGTCCTGACACCAAAGGGCGGACGCAGATGTAAAACTGAAAAAGAAAAAACAACTTTAAATAAGGTATAAAATCGTTATTTGAAGATTTCTTGGTGCTTTTTTGTTTCAAATATGGTTAACAATACTTAATTATTTTGCTGAATATCGTAAGACATACTTTGATCGTCTTAGTTCATGGTATCGATACTTAACGCTTTGATTTTGAAACAAGAAGGAAAACAATGAACTTACGCATGCATTAGGCTACAAAAATGTCTCAAGCTGTAACATTTAAGTATTTATTCTGTATGACACAAGGAAACAACAACAAAAATAAAGATCAGAAATTTAAGCTTGGAGTATATAAAACAAATGCAAAGCTCTTTTATCGGCTTTGTGCCTTCTTAGCAGTGTTTAGACCCCTGTTTTAAAGTGAATATTAAAAGTAAAAATGGCATATGTGAAGTTCCAGTTACTTTCTTATAGTTGATATCAAATGGCAGAGATTATTAATCATAAAATTTCATTCCTTTGTGAACAAACTGTAATGTTTTCTAAAGACTTTCCAGGAGACCAAGAGATGGATATAGTCCTTCATTGAAATACATCGCATTTTCTTTATGTTTAGTGGAAAACATGAAGTCTTTCCCTAATTGGCTAATTTCCTATAGCACAAATCAACACGCTTTTTGAGATGATTTGAATTTTTACTGGTAAATCAAAACTTAAATGTTACAATATTTATCACAAAAAGCTACTGATTGCATAAAAAAGGGAAGCATATTTTCTCAAAATCTATATAAATATGCAAAAATTACTCACAATGAGTAGTTTACTTATCTATATATTTAAGAAGACACATGAAAGACATTTTATGTTGACCCGGCCCCATATTGGAAAATCCCGGTTACACGGTGACGTCACTCAATAACAATAATATGAAATGAGTCTGAACAAATTTTTTTCCATTGTGATTTAACGCCATGACAGATACAGGCAGTAAAAATTTTGTCTAAAAAAATTGGTTCCTGTAGTTCCTATGCGTAGTACACACCAATATGGAGGCTGTTTACACGATTTTTACACAGAGTTGTGTAAAAAAATTTAAAAGTTGAATAAGTTGTTTTTGAGATCTATGAAGAATACACATTTGTGGTAGAATTATGACTATCAAGCAATATTTGTAGCATTTTACATAGGGAGTTTGAATTATTGTGCATGTTTATTGATTTTTTTTTCATTTTGATATGGACTTTTAAATAGATATCTAAAGACGTTCAAGCGGATTTGACCAATGTAAAATATAGCTTCAAATCCGCAGTTTACGTTTAAATATTTGGACTACAGAGATTTGGATACTGTACTGGTAGCCAAATAACCAGGAAAAAAGCTTTAATGTTGATAAACATGCCAAAAGCATGAATCTTAATTTAAGTTTAAGCTTCAACTTTTTATATTTTCAGGACAAGGTTAAAAAAGATAAAGAAAATGAAAAACTGAAAACAAGTACAGGTAAGACTCTTATTTTGTTATCTTTTCAAATTGAAACAAAAAGATTGAGCATAACTAGATAATAAACATGATAAAAAGAATTGATTACTCTCCTCCCTCTCCTCCCCCCCCCCCCCCCCAAAAAAAAAAAAATCAAATTCATTAAAGTGCATTACCTTTGTTCACTGTTGATCATTGCATTTTAATGTTGTTTTTTTTTCTAGAAAACAAGGGTAAAACTGATAGTTCTACACCAAAGAAAGACATTCCAGAAGCTGTTGACTCCAAAGACAATACAAAACATGACAATATTGATAAAGCTTCAGACACTAAAGATAAAAATACTGAACATGTTGACACTAAAGCAATCGATACAGTTGTTGACAATGTAAACACAAATGCTGATAAGGAACAAACCACAGATGTAAAGACTAGCAAAAAAGACAATAAGGCTGGTAAATCTTCAGATAAGGCTAGTACAAAGGTTGGAGAAAGTTCTGTTGGAAGTGTTCCTGTAACAAAGTTGGTTCAGAGTCATTATAAAACTCATACAAAGTCTACATTACCTCATGTGCTCACAGAGTATGGACTGGAAGATAAAGAACACCCAAAGGTGACATTTTGTTAATAATATTTTATATGACCTGTACAAAACTCTTAAAACTTGTAAAAAGACTCTTAAGTTCTAGTCAACCAAACAAAATACAGTGTCACTCCTGAAAACCAAACACCTGTTGGACGTGCCAAAAAGTTTGGATTTTGGAAGTTTTAGGAATTCAGAGGCAATAATTACATAGAAATCAGAAGAAATTTAGGGTACTTGGAAATCAGAAGAAATTTCGAGACCCTGAAAACTGTTTGAATATCAGACGTTTCCAGATTCTAGAAGTTTGGGATTTCTGAAGTTACACTGTATATTTATCTCTATTTCCTTAGTGTTGTCTTGAGTTTATTTTAATTGATTATATTTTCAAAATTGAATCTATATAGAAATATTATATTTAATTTGGTAAGTTATAAGATGAGACATTTTTTACTACATTTTATTATTGCAAAATAGTTAAAAGTAATTGGAAGTGATACTGTAACACTTACATTACATGTTGTGATTTACCATTGAACAGTGAAAAGACACACTTAATGTTTATAATGTCATATATATAAAAAGGTAATACTGGCGTATATTTTATAAAATAAAGGAGTATAAAGTTTATACATAGAAAAGGGATTTATTATCTATGATTGATATGGTACATTGTATATACATTAATATAGAAAGAGAAAAGGAAGAGAAGGAAGAAGAAAATAGAGGTGGCTAGTGATACGGATGATGATGAAAAGTCAAGGAGAAAGGCCAGAGATGATGTATGTTTGTTATTTTCATAGTATACAATACTTAATCAGTGTAAGAAATTAGGATTTGAATCGACTAGACTGGTCGGACTACCAGATTGGAATATTTACTTGCCCAAAAGGCATTTTACTTGACTGATTTATTTGTTCAAAACAGTTGTTTATATTGCCTCTCAAAATGCAGTAGCCTGGTCGGGCTTGTTACTGTGAAAAGTTGGTAGCCCGAGGAGAAATTTAGTAGTCAGGGGCTATAGGACTACTGCTAATTTCGAACACTGCTTAATGATATATTATACAAAAAAGTTATATTTCAAAATGAAGGTAAATTAACTAACAGGCTTCGCGAAACTGCTGAAAAATTTGCCTGACATTCGGTCAGACAAACTTTCAATTCTTGTCTGACCGAAAGAACTTTTGTCTGACCGAATTTTTTCCCCCAAATATATGTATACAGTATGGTAATACCTTGGTGTTTTTTTAAAGACATAACAACTTTTAAAAGATTTGCAACACAATTTTATTCCCTTAAATAAAACATTAATTTATCCGGATTGATGGACTCACAGGCGCTAGTCACATATATTCAAATATTTTACATAACCAGTCTATATATGTATATAAAGATATATAGTATACAGCCCATATAAAACTTTAAAAAGTTTGTTTCAAGCACTTGTGGATGGACTCTGTTTGGAAATCAAAACATTCATGATCAAAGCGGCTATTTGTCCATTTACCCACAAATTTTCTCGGCGGGCGCCTGGACTCGTATTCCTTTTGTTTCGCTTTTTTTTCTTCATTGGATAGTTTACGATTTTTGCCGGGCGTAGTGCCAGCGTAATAATGTAGGAACACCAACATTTTGGTTATTGACAGTCGTATGTATCAGACACTTATAATGAAACGGCGAATCAAAACCCTTTTTACATTTTTTTATTCAAGGGAGAAAACTCGATCTTGATCGGTCTTGGATATATCCCGTATTCGTACCGGACCAAAGGTCCGGAACTCCGATAAAAAATATCGGACCGGCCTGATTTTTGCCGGACATGTCCAACGGTCCGGCAACTTTCGCAAAGCCTGAACTAAATTTCATACAGTAATTATGTATACATGAAACAATATGTGTCAAAGGGGGATAACTAATAGGTTAATGTTTATATACAGTTAAATTGGTTATGCTTGGTTGTTATAAACTTAAAAATATGATAATTTTAGCTAATTTCAAAAAATGCAAACTTTAAGCTCAATTTGTGACAGATCAATTATTAGAGAACTAAGGATCACAATCAAAACTTGGTCCAGGCAGTTAGTACTTTCAAAATAATTGTCTGGTCATTGATAAGATAAAATGTAAAATAGTAAAGTTTTAGCATGTCCATAGTGTGTTTTATTTGATATTTTCCAGCATTTTCGTAATATGTTTGGGAATGTACGTGAGACAGATAACTATTACGCGGAGTATATTGATTTCCTGGAACAGAAAGTCGTACAACAAAGACAGAAAGCTTTGAGGGAGAAAGAGGAGGCAGAAAGATTAAGGATTCTTAAACTTGAAGAAGAGGTAAAACTTTCATATTTAACTTTATTTCGAATGTTTTTAAATGGTTTTTAAATGTTTAATTTCATTGTTGTAAAGATTTATTTGATGACAAATTATTTAGTGTAGTTGTAATAAGTTTAAATTAACACTAAAAGAATAATGATTAAAAGGTATTTTTAGCTCGACTATTCGCAGAATAATCGAGCTAATGCAGTCACCCATTTGTCGGCGTCGGCGTCCCTGTGGTTAAGTTTTTGTATGTAAGCTGGTATCTCCATAACTATTGAAGGGAATGGATTGAAACTTCACACATTTGTTCTCTTTGATTATCTAAGATGATTGGCACAAGTCCCATAACTCTGAATTGTTTTATTTCATAATTATGCCCCTTTTTCGACTTAGAAAATCTTGGTTTAGTTTTTGTATGTAAGCTGGTATCTCCATAACTACTGAAGGGAATGGATTGAAACTTCACACACTTGTTCTCTGTGATTATCTAAGATGATTGGCACAAGTCCCATAACTCTGATTTGCTTTTTTATATAATTATGCCCCTTTTTCGACTTAGAAATTCTTGGTTAAGTTTTTGTATGTAAGCTGGTATCTCCATAACTACTGAAGGGAATGGATTGAAACTTCACACACTTGTTCTCTGTGATTATCTAAGATGATTTGCACAAGTCCCATAACTCTGGTTTGCTTTTTTTCATAATTATGCCCCTTTTTCGACTTAGAAATTCTTAGTAAAGTTTGTGTATGTAAGCTGTTATCTCCATAACTACTGAAGGGAATTGATTGAAACTTCACACACTTGATCTCTGTGTTTATCTAAGACAATTGGCACAAGTACCATAACTCTGATTTGCTTTTTTACATAATTATGCCCCTTTTTCGACTTAGAAATTCTTGGTTAAGTTTTTGCGTGTAAGCTGGTATCTCCATAACTACTGAAGGGAATGGATTGAAACTTCACACACTTGTTCTCTGTGATTATCTAAGATAATTGGCACAAGTCCCATAACTCTGATTTGCTTTTTTACATAATTATGCCCCTTTTTTGACTTAGAAATTCTTGGTTAAGTTTTTGCGTGTAAGCTGGTATCTCCATAACTACTGAAGGGAATGGATTGAAACTTCACACACTTGTTTTCTGTGATTATCTAAGATAATTGGCACAAGTCCCATAACTCTGATTTGCTTTTTTACATAATTATGCCCCTTTTTTGACTTAGAAATTCTTGGTTAAGTTTTGCATGTAAGCTAAGGTATCTCCATAACTACTGAAGGTAATGGATTGAAACTTCACACACTTGTTCTCTCTGATTATCTTAGATGATTGGCACAAGTCCCATAACTCAGATTTGCTTTTTAACATAATTATGCCCCTTTTTAGACTTAGAAATTTTTGGTTAAGTTTTTGCGTGTAAGCTGGTATCTCCATAACTACTGAAGGGAATGGATTGAAACTTCACACACTTGGTCTCTGTGATTATCTAAGGTGATTGGTACAAGTCCCATAACTCTGAATTGTTTTATTTCATAATTATGCCCCTTTTTCGACTTAGAAAATCTTGGTTAAGTTTTTGTATGTAAGCTTGTATCTCCATAACTACTGAAGGGAATGTATTGAAACTTGAAGAGTTTGTACCTTTTCGGACAATTTTATGTATTCATATAGGTAAGCATTATTATACTCAATGAAACACCCTTGTGACAAATTTTCGAATAGTCGAGCTTTACTGTCCTCCGACAGTTCTTGTTGTTAAATGTTTTACCATGTGTAGAGTTTTTAGTGTAGCATGCAGTATTAATAAATTGACATGTTTGTTTGTATAGTTTATCAAGTAGTCTTAGATTATCCCCAACCTTGTTATAATTAGTTTACCAATATAATATGACCTTAGTTTAAGACTTATCAAAATGTATTTTCAACATGGCACAGTTTTCTTCAGGCACGGCCCATGTATCATCAATATTTTAGAGATCTGTTTTTATAATTTATTCCTTAAGCTTAAGAAAAATCTCCCTTGATGCCATTTTGGATATCCATAGAGATTCACATAGAACAATCACTGAATTTTGCAAATTCTGTTTGACTTTTTGAGTTTCTTTTAACAATAACAGAATAATGTCACCAGTATGGAGCCATGCCAGCATAGTCAGATCTGTGCGGTCTGGCCAAACTATAGTGGTTGATTCTAATCTAAGTATTTTAATGTTATAATTTCCTTTCACTTTAATGGAAAAGACCAAATTCAAAGGAAGACAAATTTAGTTTAAATAATCAGCAGTATTTTGTGGATTCAGTGTAATACAGTTGTGACCCAATTTACAGTTGTACTGACATATTTGCAGAATTTGAATCAAAACTCTATTGCTTTAAAATACATTTTGTAGTGCATGTTTATATTATATAGTTAGAAAGTTGTATATTTAAATGATGACATTACTATAGTGTGAGGAGACGGTGACAAAGGTCCCAGAAGTGCCGCCCCCTGAACCTGAGGTAATAGGATGTACATGTATTTTATCTATTTTCGTGTTGCCAGATTCACTTTTATTTTATTCTTATCACTTTTTTGCAGCTTGCCCTACAAATAGTAGGCTTTTTATTTTACTGGATTTGTAATATTATTTCATACATACTTTTATGTTAGATTAAATGAAGGAAAAGTTTGTAATAAATTAAAGTTTTAAACTTTGTACAGATAATATTATAATGTTCAGTTCTATATCAAATACATTTATAATTACTACACTGGTAATTTTCAATGTGCCAGTTCTAAAATTTGTAAAATTCAGATTTTTTTATCAAACTTTCTTGTTCTGGATATTGTTTTCATTTCACTCTTTAATATTTTCTATTTTACTGTCAATGTTCTCAAAATTTTTGAGGTCAAGCATTTTAACAAGTATTTGTAACACAGCACCGAATTCCTGGTTGAAAATATCCCTGTAATGTTTAACAAATCATCACATTTGTCACAAATACCTCCTAATATTTTTCACAAAATACAATACGATGTACAGGGTAAATGTATGGTTTGTATAGAGTATTATATAGTCTTAGTTAAAACTGCATAATGTTTGTTTTTGTCACATAAATTTACATGTTGAAAGGAATTGAATTATATACAAATGAATAACTGGCATATATTGTTTTGTATATTTCTATGCTAGTCTGTTATTGTGATGTTGAATAGATGAATCAACTGTTTTTAGCTCGACTTTTCTATGAAAAGGGGAGCTATCCTACTCGCCCCGGCGTCGGCGTCGGCGTCACACCTTGGTTAAGTTTTTCGTACCACCCCACTTTATTTCAGAAGTATTACAAGTATGGCTTTGAAACTTACCATACTTGTTCACCATCATAACCTCCATCTACAGACAAGAGTACATAACTCTGTCAAGGTTTTTGACAGAATTATGGCCCTTTTTTGACTTAGAAAGTGTATTGAGCTTGGTTAAGTTTTTTGTACCACCTCACTTTATTTCAAAACCATTGGAGGTATTGCTTTGAAACTGACCATACTTGTTTACCATCACGACCTTCATCAACAGACAAGAGGACATAACTCTGTCAAGGTTTTTGACAGAATTATGCCCCTTTTTGACTTAGAAAATACATTGAATATGGGTAAAATCCACTTATTGCCTTAACCCTTTGAGATATTGCTTTGAAACTTTTAATGCTATTTCACATCATTACCCCCATCTGTACGCAAGAGAAGGTAACTCTGTCAAGGATTTGTTTTAAAAATTAAGGCCTTTTATCGACTTAGAATCTTGGTTAAGTTTTTAGTACCAGTCCACTTTTTGACTGAACTGTTTGAGATATTAATTTGAAAGTTGGAATACTTGTTTACAATCATGATTCCCAAACATGTCCAGGAGAAGGTAATTCTGTCAAAGATTTTATTTGAATTATGGCCCTTAACTGTCAATGTTTTGTATTATAGGCAAGCACTAAAAAACTTAAAAAATCTAAAAAAATTCATTCCTATCCACTTGTTCACTTTACCATAAATTATGTCATAATAAAATAATTCTTCACTAAATATCTTAATGCTCATGGCCATTGTTCACTTTAAAAATACAGAGATTCTTGTATTGCCTTTTACTGCAAAAACTTTTTTTATTGGCAAGCAATAAAAAAGTCGAGCGCGCTGTCTTACGGACAGCTCTTGTTTGTGTTTAGATTTATTGTGTATTGAGCTTTAAGAAAGTTTTAAATTTTAGATGTTGTCAAGGGTTTTTACATTAAAGCTTTTTTTATATATATTTCTTGATATACACTTTAAGCATTTCAGATTTTCATCTTTTTACACTTTAACAATTTATATTTTGATATATTGTCTTGTTATACACTTTAAGCAATTTCATACACTAATCATTTCATGTATTGTCTTTTTTAAAACTTACATTTTGCATTGTTGTACACTTTAAGCATTTCCTAAAATTTTCTAGTTATTACACTTTAACCATTAAATTCTGATTTATTGTCTTTTTACACATTAATCATTTCAGATTTTCTTCTTTTTACACTTTACCCATCAAATTTAGTTAGCTATATTGTCTGGTTATACACTTTAAGCATTGTTTTACACTTTAAGCATTAAATTTTGACATATAATCTTGTTTTACACTCTTAGCATTTCAGATTTTTTTTTTTTTTTTGCATTATAAGTATAACAGCTTTAAGTTGTCTAGTCACTGCCAGTCAGCCTTTTGATATTACATTTCTATTAATTATGTCTGGAATAAACACATAACAAACATAATTTAGATTGCTCAATATGATTTTTGTGTTGATACTGAATTTATGGGAGAAACTTTCTGAATAAAACAATCACTTTCTATTACACTTAATCTGCATTAAAAAGGTACACCTACAAATTCATTCTTAAATGTTTGATTAGTTTAGTTTACAAAGTTTCCACCTTACTCTGAAGTTGATATCTACACACTATATGGACAATCTCATATATGTACATGTATGTAGTTTAGAAAAGATTATCTTATGGAAAGTTGAGATATTTAAGTTAACCTTTTACCCCATGAGCATATTGTGAAAATTGAAAAGCCTCCTGTTACAAGTTCTAACTGCTATTTAACTATGAAAAATGCATCAATACTGATGAAACTTGGCACATATGTTAATGAACCATAACCTCTGTAACAACATGCTCAATCTTAAATTTCCTGTTACCATGGCAACAGGGGGAGATCTCAAAATTGCGAAAAATCACTATTTTGCATTGTTTTTTTCCCCATCAAAACTGATTTCAAAGTGCTTCAACCTGAGGCCATTTTAGCCTGTCACAAGTCCCAAACAGAAGGGGGCACATCCCCCTTCTGGCAACCCTCTTATGTATCATTTTGATAGGGGCCGTACTGATAAAATGGTCACCTTTTTTTTTTTTTACAAAATTTCTTAAATGAAAAACAGTGTTTTTTGCCTAAATAGGGCATTTTGTCACTGTTTGAGGCCTCAAAAAGTGGGGGGGGGGGACAAAAAGCCATCAAAGCACGTCTTTATGTGAGGGAAAAGGTTAAGTAAGTAAAAATAAAGTTTACACTAATTTAAATGCACATTTTATATCATAACAGAAACAGAGAAGACGTTTTGTGCGGAGACTTGAGAGAATAGAACTGAAACATGATGATACTTTCCTCAGAAATATACCAAAAACAGACACAGCTAGGGTAATGTAGTTTTCAACATATAACTTATATATTGTGAATTATGGATAAGGATAAAATGCTTGAAATTCTGTAAAGAATGTCAAAATGTATGAAATTCTTGGAAATTTGTGGCAAAATGTTTTAAACTGATTAAAATCAATAGTTAACTACATATGTCTTAAAATTCTAGGTTGCATATAAAAGGTCAGTGATTCTACCAAAATAGATGCTTGTGTCTAAAATAATACACAGAAGAGCAGCTAGGGTCTTTCTCTTTATGAAAAATTGCAAATTTTGACATGTGACCTCAGTTTTTGAAACCTAAATCCTACAAGCCATAATTTATAGTATTAGTAGTTATCTCACAAAAATATACTTATTCTTTTCCAATGATTAAGAAAGATTCATTGAAGTCAGCTTTAATTGCTGAATAAAGTTTGTTGATTAAGGAATTTGTTACGAACATGGAATGTCAAAAATACAACCTTTTTAATATAGGTTTTACTAGGGCCTACTTTCAAACCTTGGGTAAGACACATACACTTTGTGTAAATGAAAGCTACTGGTGCACTGTTTTGGGTGATAATGTTCATCATATCTAGATTCACATATAGCATTCAGTCAAATGTTTCATACATGTAACATAGCCAGTTGAACCAAAGAAAGGGAAAATTAGAAGCCTTTAACTTTTTAGTCCCCTACCGGTTTACCGGAGGGGACTTTAGGTTTACCCTCCGTCCGTCTGTCCGTCAGTCCGTCCGTCAGCACTACCAAATAGGGATAGGGGGCCATCTAACTGTAAACAGAACAAAAGAGAACAATAGAGTTCATTCCGTAACAATAGAGTAAGGGGCCATTGGCCCTCTATTAAACAATAGAAAATAACAAAAGAAATGGCCCCTTATTCCATTTCGGCCAGACGTCCGTCCGTCCGTCCACAAAACTGGATCCCGCGATAACGCAAAAAGTACTGAAAATATTTTAATGAAACTTGATATATGGATAGATGGCAGTATGGAGATTATGCACGTCTTTTTCTTTTCTTCCTATGTTGAAAATTCTGGTTGCTATAGCAACAAATAGACTGAAAATATGACAAATTTTACACATAAACTGGATCCCGCGATAACGCAAAAAGTACTGAAAATATTTTTATGAAACTTGATATTTGGATAGATGGCAGTATGGAGATTATGCACGTCTTTTTCTTTTCTTCCTATGTTTAAAATTCTGGTTGCTATGGCAACAAATAGACTGAAAATATGGCAAATTTTACACATAACCTGGATCCAGTGATAACACAAATAGTACTGAAAATATGTTTATGAAACTTGACATATGGGTAGATGGCAGTATGGAAATTATTCACATCCTTTTGTTATCTTCCTATGTTGAAAATTCTGGTTGCTATGGCAACAAATAGACTAAATTTCAAGATTTCTGATTCTAGTTTTAAAGTTTTTTCACTATAAGTTCTTTATTTCTTAAGGTATTTTCTTCAAACTTTAAATATCAGTTGCTTGTCATCAACCACATCATATGTGACAAGGTTTACAACTCTAGCACAAAATTTATTAGAATTACCTCCCTTGAACTTGAAATTTTCATGAAAAAAACATTGTTTTTTTAATAACTTCTTTTTCTGAATGTATCTACTTCAAACTTCATATAAATGTTTCTTTTTGTCACTCAACATTTGTGAGTGTTCAATACTCTAGCAAGACTATTTCCAGAATTATGCCCCTTTTGAACTTAGACTTTTTTTTGAGAAATTGGTAATTTTTACTCCAACTTCTTCACTCATGATAGGATTTTAAAAATGTTATATTTTGATAACAGGGATGTTTAAAAGATAACTTTAGAGTGTCTTTCAGTCGGTCTGTACATAAAAACTATTTCCTGTGATCACTTTTAAAGAACTTTTTCAACAAATTTACTTAAAATAGGAACCTAAGTGAATGGCCAATGGCCCTTCAGAATGTTGCTTGGGCTCTTACCGGTAGGGGACTTATGGATTGCTTGCAATACTATGATAATTGCTTGTTACTTTTTACTTTGTATGAGAAGAACTTTCTTTTTTTTTGCAAAAGATCAATAGAAAAAAAGATTTTTATCATACTGACAAAATGTTTCACATGAGATACTTTTGTTTACTCTGAACTGCAGATTGAAGTTTGATTTATGATCAACATTTGGTCGTGGTTGCACTTTTGAATTTATTGTTAAGGCCTCATTCTTAAGCAGTACTTGTGAATGTCACTGGATCAAAAAAGCATCCTGTTAATGTGTAGGATCAAATGATGAAAAACAGAGTAATTCAAGATGATATGTAAAACTTGTTCTTCCTTATTTTATCTCAGGCTGCCAAAATACTGGTCATTTGCTACATATGACATTCTACCATATGGCTGTTCAATAAGGCCAAAAATACATTTTTGAATAAGTGCTGTCCAAACGCCAGTGAACAATGCACATATTGTCTAGAAATTGTTAACCTATTACACCAAATGTATTTTTCTGCAATATATTTTGCAACACAGCACATGGAAAAAACTGATTTTTCTGTGACACTTCTATGCACAAATAAAGTACAAGTAACAACCTGACACAAAATTTACAAAAAAAGTCTTAAGAGCACCTATTTTCATTCAAAATTTTATATAGGCTGTTATTTTGTCACCTTATTGAATTTTTTAATGATTTGTTTACAAGTTTTACTTTTAAATAAAATATTCTTGAAAGTTTGTGGACAATACCATATTAATATTTCACTAAAATTTATTTGCTACAGATTATTGCCTTACAAGACAAATTGAGGAAAGAGGGAAAATTAAAATCACAGTGTGATGTCGACAAGTTCTGGGATGATATCAGAAAACCACATGTGTTTTATGAACACTTCAAAGTAAAGAAAAGAGGTGTGTGTTTTTTAATTATTTTTATAAGAATAACACAGTCATCTATTTATTTGAGTGTCTGTTGTTAACAAAATGAAGTCTGCTGTCAAGTTAAAAAGAAACTTACTCCCATCAGCTGATCATACTTTCATCAAGGAAAAAGTCAATCATTTTGCCAGAACTGAATTACTATTTTAACTTTCCAAAATTTTCATTTTCCACTTAGAATATCATATGCTGTAAATTTTACATTGAAGGGTAGGGCAGCAAGATTTTAAAAACACTGATACCACAATTATCAGTTTTGGTACAACATATGAGCAAAGATGTAGATAATTTAACTATGTCTCTGATATAAGCAATATTTATAGTTCATGCATGTGTTTATGCTCTACTAGATGCAGTTGCGTGTGATTCGTCCGATGACGACCAACAAGGTTCACACGAGGATATTGAAGATCTACCAGGACCTGAAATGGCTCCACGTTCATTAAGTCACATATCAGAGGCATCCAAAGATCGGGATTCATGGGCTATCACACAAAAGTTTGGGACATCACATGGACCAAAGACCCCTCATTCCGTATGTGTTTATGTTACTGATGTCACTGTAGCATTTAAAGATAATATATAGTGCCCTGTACATGCTTCAAAACTTTTATTAATAAATTTAACTGGAGAAAGTTTTAAAAAGAGATAAATTACTATAAAGAATGGGCCGTATGTGGGCTTGTGGTTTAAATGTTTGAGATTTCAAGCCAGTCTTGCCCTTCACTGCTGTGGGTTTGAATCGTGCCAGGAACTTTGGATTCTTTCATAAGAGGCAGCTTCCCTGCCAGTTTATGATAGTCAACAGTGGTTCTACTCATGTGCCATTCATACCGAAAATAATGCACATAAGGCAACCTGAAATCTTCCTCATATTTCATATACTTCCTCATCACCATATTTCTGTCACAGTATTGGTATGATGTGAAACTGAACATCAAATAAGCAAACTAGTAAAGCAGGGAACTTATTCACAATCCAGTTATATGATATTGTCTCGTATAATCAACTTTGCTCTGAAATGATTATCTGTATTATTTTGTACTGAAATAATTATTTGTACTTTTATAACAGGGACGTAAAAGGAAAGATTCAACACAAATGGCAAAGGAAGCAGCTGTAGATTTGGAGAAGAGATGCCCTAAGGTTACCAAAGTTACCATATTTTAAATATATATCTTTAGAACAGTTAATTACATGTACTTTCATTTTGAATACAGTGTGATGTTGATACTGATATTAAAGGTTGTATTGAGATTTATTATTTGAATATCTAGGAAGTCTGGGTTAACATACACTATTTCCATAGGAAGTTCATGTGACAACACCTCTAGTGTTAGTTATTTTGAATGTTTTTGAGGATAATCTAACAATTGTGCACAGCATATAAAACTAATGCAAAGGGTCCAAGTGTAAGGTCTAACCTTAAAGGCTATCCAAGTAGTGGAATCGTCTTTGGGATCCCTGAACACATTACTTGCTTTATTCAAACATTCAGTCAACAAAAAAGTAATCAAACATCGCCTTCCCTTACAGGTTAGTCTTGTTTAAGTGTGCCATTACAACAGATCTGTTTATGATTATACTTATTTTTTAGACTAATATGATACAGTTATATTTATAATTACAGTTAGAAATGCCACCTTTAGCCTGCTTTTCTTTGAAACTGGGAGAGAAAC